CGAAGTAAAATACAAGTGTAAAGCATCTCATTTATAAGGGTGATCTTCTCTATACTACAGTACATATGAAGGTAATTCTATTTATAGTTCAAAGCACGTGTAAGACCTCTCTTATTTTGTAATACACGTGAATGGCATGTAATTTATCGCATACTATACAAACAGGACATCTTCGTTACAGTACAACACGTGTTGGACAAAATCTCTATAGCAAAATACATGTTTGTGACAATTTTTATTCATAAAAATACCAATATGACATTTAATCTAAATAACAAATCACGTGTACAATGTACAACGTCTTATTTATTGTGTAATACACGTGTTGACATATTAGCCAATAAAAAAACACCTCAAGGATATCTTTGTGATTTGGCTTACGTTAAGTGGTTCCATACGCATTGCATTGTTGCTTTCAAATATGTTATTTTTTTAAGTAACAAAAAGTATATTGTTGGGACATACTGAAAAATGGAGTATGATCAATCAGGTGTTTGTGCAGCAAAGCATTAACTTTTGTATTTTAAACACACATTATAACGCTCTACCTTTTAATATTATAATATATATTTTGTTTTTATTAATATAATGAAGTCGTGACCTGTTTATACAATGTACTGTAGACCGACATATGTATTTTCTTTCTGCTTATCATGTGTTAAGCTGGTAACCGAGACCATCTTTTAAAGAAATCCCTAAAATATTTGTTAATAGTTATTTAGAAATTAAAGAAACATATATTTCAAAAGTGTCGAGATAACCAAAACCAAACATACTATATTTGTAATTAAGTGGTTGTTATCAGAAAGCATTACATATGTGCAAATGTACATGGAAATGAAACAACAGTATTTGGTTACATGAATGAGACCTCGTGCTGACTATAAAATGGATGGGAAATCAAAATCACTATAATCAAACAAAGCAAATGTGTTTAAAAACAAAAAAAGTGAAACCGTCAATATATTTGCCAATCTCGTGATCAGGGTACCAGACTCCGAGATATTTCTGCGTGTGTATGTGTACAATACTTCCAATCATATCAAGAACAGACAGTGCTCTCTACCTATACCGTAGTTTATATATAGGACACTTTCCAAAATTATGATTAATTTATTTATTCTCTGATAATCATTTTACAATATGTGCAGATTTCTCGATTATTCATAATTATCACTGAGATAATCGTACTTGTTTTTAGAATTTTTTTTTCTATTAATAATGGTAGGACGATATTATTCGCATTAACCATGAACCGCCTTGTTGAATCAGAGTAAATGACCAAAATACTGTTAATTTTTTTTATAATGTTATTGTTAGCAAGGAACCTTTCAGCAAACAAAGGAAGTTGATAATTGTATATGTATAAGATTAATGGTATCGTTTAGCAGGTGTAAGTAGGTCTAGGTGTAGATGATAGGCTAGATATTCAGTATAACATAGGTCATAGGTCAGGTGGTCAGTATAGTTTTAAAGAATGTGATAAGTTACTGAATGTGTGACATTATAATGCTAGTTACTTCATTTATCTTTATCTTATCTAAGCCAACCCAACATGATATAGACGGTATCTCCTATTACACACAGTTTTATTAACTAATGATATATATCAAACCTATTGTTGAAACGATTGAAGTATATACTTGGTATATCTGTGTTTTCTTGGTATGCTTTCATTGGTGATAGTACCAATGCGATTGCCTGTCACATAGAAGCACTGGACCGGCGTTTAATCATGATCACATCAAATTGATACACATTTAAATCACATACATGCATATCATAAATGTAAAAATAGAAAATATCGATACGTACAATAGCAGTTAGAAACATATATATATTTCCATAAAATTCAAATAAAAAAACATAATATGTTCATGATATATCACAAACGAAGCTATATATTATAACTTAAAATAACTGTCGAAGGTTTTGTGTCATACCTGGTATTTGATGAATAAAGAATGAGAAGAGGTTTTTGTTTGAATGTATCGAGACTTATATACATCTGCGAATAGAAAGTGAGTGATGGGTTTTCAAGAAGAAGAAAGAAATATTTTATCACTTTTTTTCGACTTTATTTAACGTCAAGTTTAGCAGTAGATACATTTATATATTGCTATTTATTACACAGCTGTAAATAAACGTTACTCCTGTGATATATTAAGAAAAAAATATGCTAACCTGCACTTTTACCTGAAATGTATGTTAAATTTAAGGCATTTGTTTTTTTTCAAACATTGCTGTTATTTGTTTTGATCTTAGAAAAAAACGCTAACATAATCCCAGTAATATCTGTGATTCATGTAACAGCTAAGTTAAAGTCTGCCTCACACATTACACCTGTCATATGTTTTAGAGATTATGTTATATGCTACCTTACTATGTGCGATGTGTGTTAGATTTAAGGTTATATACTACCTTGCACATTAAACTTGTGGTTTCTGTCAGATTTAAGGTAATATTCTTGTATACTTGTGATTAATGTTCAAACTATGTCCAGCGCAAATACATATGCTACCTTATACAAACCTATTATTTGTTTCACGTGTAAGGATACGTACTGCCTAATAAAGGACACATGGAGTTAGTGTAAGAGTTTAGATACGCTACATGTACCTTACACAGTCCATATGCTATATGTGTAAACTTATTGAAAGTTCATGCTACATGCTACCCTTACACACTGATCACGTGATCACATCACACTTGTGCTTTGTGAGTACCGGAATGTTGACCGCTGCAACATAAAAAAAACTATTTCTATTAAGGTTTGAGGTGACCGTAACTTTGTTTTAGTAACAGTTGCTAGTATTTCTAAGATATGCAAATGTATACCGCCCATCCTCAATCTGAGGCTAGGAAAGGACAGGAGTCATCAACTATTGTGCGCTGTAATAAGTGTTGCTGCTTTACGTATTAAATCAATGTACACAATGTATTATATATAATAGTGCATATTGATCAAAAAGGTGAAGATATGAATTAACTGTTGCATTTGTACTTTGTCCAACATATAGATAATCTATTAATATACAGTGATGTTTCCCATCAGATTCTTTATCAATTCATGTATTTGAATTATTTTTTCTGACTATTTATTTGTATATGTTAATGTCATTTGCTTACAAGAAGATAATTATCCAGCAATAATATTGGTCATACATATTTATGCAAACAATTTTACAGCAATTAAATTGGCAATATCAATACTGTTAATATATTCTTAGGTTTTGTAATTAAATATATAAATCCTGGTAGCTATGCAAAATGATACAAACGTTTATCAAAATTATCAATGTTGATACGAAGTCATGGAAATTTACTGGAAACAAATTAATTAGTATTGACGTTAATGGGAAAATGACATTAATTTGAATTATTGTGACACGTCAATATCTCAGTATATTTCCGAATTAGATTATTCAGGTAATTTAATTCAACGATAGGTACATTTTCTTAAAACATCTGTTATTTTATTTACATGAAGCTACCTTTATATTCCATTATGGAATATTACACATAATTTAGTCACATAAATATTCTATAACTTAATAATAGCCGATCGTGGTTTATTAAAGCCATATTGATATATGTCATTGAATTTTACACCTGAGTTATTTAGCTATATATTTTTCTCCTTAGTCAAATATAGCCAAAACTATAGCCCTACTTGAATATCATATTTGAGTTAAGCCTCATATGTATTCCCATATTGAATATTATACGTGAATCAATTTAGCCTCATACGTATTCCCATATTGAATATTATACGTGAATTAATTTAACCTCATACGTATTCCTTTATTGCATACTAAACGTGAATAAATTTAGCCTCATACCTATTCCCTTATTGAAGATGACACGTGAATCAATTTAGCCACATACATATCCCTTATTTAATATTACATGTCTTTCGATTTAGCCACATATATATCCCTTATTTAATATTACATGTCTTTCAATTTAGCCACATATATCCTCTAATCGGATGCTACACTTGTGTTCCCGGTCCTCCAGTTTACACGTTAGTCTTTTCAACACCATCATACCTCTAACCGGACTAGCTCAAATTCCACACGCGCTCTCATCGGAAACTGTGCTTACAGCGTACCCAACACACGAGCCTTATTCGATCACCTTATAAGATGTGTTAGGCTAATTAGCATGCCTCTAATTGCAAATTTGTACTGATAACGGTTTCATGCTTTGTTTTGGTAATTAGAAACACTTCAAGTGTTAATTGTTTCTATTTTCCGATGGGAATTAAAACATTTTGTAATAAAAGCACTTTTAAGACATTATCTGTTTTCAAATCAAATATCAAAGCTAATTTTTCGATCCATGAAAAACGAGCGCGTTCTGAATTAATCTAATGACTTGAAATACGTGGTTCCGATTATAGTGCTCAACTTGCTGCGCGCGAATCCCCCAGTGGTAGTCAGAGCCCACCGACCTGCAATTATGTTATTAAATGGGATAATTGCAAGAAATCAGAGACAATATTGCAATTTCTCGTTTAGAAGCTCCGTCGCATGGCTGACGAATGCTGTACCGCTTCTATCTCGTATCATCATATTATTGATCCGGGTCGAAAGTCCGCCTCCAACTTCACCAAATACATTTGTCAGCCACGCCCACTCTTCATCAGAATTCCAATGCTAGATTTGAACCAATCAGACAAAAACTATCCTTTTGGAAATTAACTTATCAAAGATAATTCAATTTTGTTGAGATGTTTTGACTTTGAATAATATGAAAGTTTTTTTGTATGGGTCGACACACGAGATAGAAGGAAGAAACGTTTTATTTCGAAGTTAGACACGCTGTTGACGCTCTCTTGAGAAGGCAATATTACGTACTATGTATACGAGTTGGACAAAGATAATGCGTGAATAGAATATATTTTAGGTAAAAAGTTAAGTATGCACAAAGTACAATACAGGAAATAACAGTTTTTATCAAAGTACTAACTCTTAAGACCAACCGCTGATACCATCATGGAAGGTCTAGCCGAATTTGTCTCAAAATCCTTTAGCGATGACAACGAGGATGTAAACAAACCAACGAAACCGTCGATGACATCAGCGTCAACAACGATAAAATGTGAAGAAAAGATTGTAGTAGATGATAACCAGCAGGAAGCTACGGACTTACGAATTGTACATAAAGACGAGGATCAATCTAAAACACTTCCCCCATGTGACCCCACCCCAAAACTGGACACCCTGGACGTCGTCACGGACGGTTCGGACACAGGTAGGGATCAACACAAGTGGTCAAGTGGTCGATAATCAGGCTACGGAAAAGGGCCGTGATTGTGACCCCTAGCTCCTTCATAGGACACTAGGAGGCTATTTGCGGAAATGTAGACATGGTTATACAAACAAACTAAATGGTTTTAAAAGTGTATGTGTATGCCACATTTTTCATTTAACTTTGTAAATGTTAGGATATTAATCATATTGATTCGTTTCGGAGTAACAGCTAGTTAAACAATTAATAAACATTATAATGATATACGTTCATAATACATACTGAAGGAATACTACCGACAACGTCAAATATTTCTAATGATCTAGAAGAAATTCCCAGCAAATCATGTTGTTATTTAACAACTGTTTGTATATATGCTATGTAAAAATGTGATTCATTATCTTTACCCGACGGATTTAAATGAAATCCAAGTAACTCTATCGGCATATCTACAATAATAATGTAAACGAAGGATGCTTCCTGAAACAAATGACATAACAGCATTTACAATGCGGTCTTAAGAGCAGTAGATAACAACTATATTATATTTAAATTCTGTATCGTGTACTCCACTGTGCTGTTACAATATATCATTTTTATAAGCTTTTACAATTTTTTGTACTTAACCTGTATACAAATTATGTTAAATGTTAACACAAAAAATGCATATGTTTTTGACATTTGACTTACATAGTTAAGGATAACCATTTTTATATCCTCAAATGCATTCAAAACTGTTATGTTACGAAGAACACTGAAATGTTGCTAATAAATATTTGAACGGAAAATACATCAAATATTTTGATTACCTGGACAGGAACTGAAAACTTTGTCCTTTCTGAGTCATCTCAAAGTATATCAATAAATTTACTCGTTTTAATTAATACACATACTATTAGAAACATACTTATTGTACATCGATATTAGTCAGAAAAGTAACACAAAAGTATTTTATAAACATTTGTTTATATTTTATCCAACATATTTCGACTCTCATGATGAAATTGGCATCATAATTATTTAGTATGTTGATATATCGAATAGGATTTAATAGAACAGAGTCAGGTCATTGCAGATATACAAAAACGACGATTTATATTGAATATTATTACTTCTCAGTCAAAATTACAAATTTCTTTGAACTCACTGTAGTACAATACATAATTCCCTGTTTGCTATCAATATATTTATTTAATTCTGGATCATTTACTATCAATCACCCACGTGAGTAGAAATGATAAAAACCTTGCTGTTTTGCTGGCTTCAATTTCAAATATTCAACTGACTCAATTCATTTAACTCACTAATACACCAAGGTAAAACGTAAAAGGTGTTGAATATATATCTAACAACGCATTTCAACATAACAAATCGTGAATTTAGTTTTCATGTCAAATTGTATACATTTTTACTTCCCTGTATATATCTTATTCAATGTTAATCTTAATCAACAGAAAGGATTGACAAGTTGATAATGTCGTCAGCAGCACCTATGCAATAAATACAAACAAACAAAATGAATATGCTTTAAAGCGCATATATAAATTTGTGTAAAATATTGAAATATTTACTTATATTTTTAGCTTTACTTTTTGATTACAGAAAAAGAAAAATGTATATTGTCTTTCCCTTTGTTGTTAAAACTTCAGCGAAAAAATAGGCTTTACCTGACTTACTACTGAAATTGTATTATAATGTTAAAACAAAATTAACGTCCATTTTTTGGTTTTAAGTAGGTTTTGTTATACATTGTTAATTGGTTTTGAGCAGAGTAGATTGAGCATTAGGATAGTCATATCTTGTAAATATCTAAAATATTAAGACAGAGTTAATGATAAAGATCAAGAAACAAACAATTTGACATCTACGATGTTCTAAAATGTAATAATTAGGTAATTACCAATGTATATTGACAGATCAATCAGTATTTCGATATGAAGAAGAGAGCATAAACAATGTGGCTATTGGATAGCCAAGATGTTTCCGAAACAAGCTGCTGTTAAGCAATATTGATTTAGCATATTCGTTTATTTTTGTTGATATTTAGCAGCTTATCGATAAAACCATTGTATACATTTTGTCTTCCTCAATTTCTAACATTCCTACTGGAGAATATAGACGCTCCTCTATGGTTCCATATAGAGATCAATGGAGTTTATCATTAACCACATCTTACTTTTGTCAAACATGCAAAAACATACATTTTAATTACAATGCTAGGCTTTCAGGATATAGGCTTCTTTGCGCACGTTTCTCCCCGGTATATATTTTGGTAGACCGCTGGATACATTTTAAAAACTTAGAAGCATCAACTTGTTTATATTTCAATAATCTTGCCTAACTATTACTACAAATATACAAAATCAAAGTATGGAATCGAGATAATAAAACAAAGACTTACGACTTGGGGTAACATGTAATACATTGAAATAAGTTTAGCTTCGCATCAAGTCAAAACCAATAGCTTGGATTTTGATTAGGGTAAACACATTCAACAACAATTATGATATGAGATTAAGACAATAAAAAACGTTTGATCATGATTAAGTTATTGCAGAAAATTGCTTCAAATAAGATTCTGTAAACACTGCGTAACTGAGGATTGAAAAAATGCAAAATATAATTTTGATTTAGATTGATTTCATGAAACGAAATTGTAACTAAAAATTAAAAGTATGAAACAAAGCAAAACCTTTAATTTTGGATCAAGACATCACAGAATTAAACTGTTACGTTCTATCATAGTTGTTGGAACAACTAATTTAATGTAAGTAGCATTAAACAAACCCTGTACATATAACTCTGGATGAGGCTTCGGGTGAAAACACTTGTTCAGATTCAGGTTAAAATAAGATACATGTATATTTCGGATTAAGGGATTGAAATGTTCCATTTTACGCACCTCAACAACCATTTTACATGTACAATTAATTAACCAATTACGAATAAGATAATTGTAATAATGTCGTTTAACTTGGTTAACAGGAATTTGAATAAAACGTTTAACTGGATCAAGTACAAGTCGACTGGAACGTGTACAAGTGAACTACAAAAACGAAGTCACCCTTTAACAGAAACAGGTGTAAGAATTTAAAAAAAAAAAGTAAAGGTGTAATCCTTTCACTTAAAATAAATGATTTTTTTAAAGGTACACACTTCATTTATTTTTAAACCGAAACAAATTATTAACAGGTAAACTGTCTCAAAATTCCTCCATTTGTAACTGGCTACATACCTCAAACTTTCGGTAATTGTTTGTTTGGCTTACTACTTTATCCATAGCGTATGTCAAGGAAAACATATTTATGTGATTTTAAGGGAAAATTTAACAAGATGGGTTTTTATATATATTTCCGTCTGTGTGGTTCTTTGTGTTACCAGACCTATTTCATGACCTTTTTCGTTACATCAGATTTAAAGAATATTTAGCCCCCTTATGTTGAGGTAGCAATAGTTAACCTTAGGGGAAATCTTCTAAAATTGCCAAGGTTTTCAGAGTGAATGTTTCTCATACCCAAAAATTAGGAATGGTTATCTTTTAGGTCCCTAAAAGAAATACAGTTATTACTTTATAACAATAAGCGCCCGGTGGAGATATTAAGTCACTTCACTCGAAAGGATGACCCCGTTTACTGTTTTATTAGGACGTCACAGACAATGAGCTCGGAGTCAAACTCTAAAGTAGGAAAATGGAATCCCTAACCGGGATACTTTTTTATTGGATATAGACGCTCTAGAACAGGTTACCTCAGGTACTGTGCGAGATAGAAACAACGGGCAAAGATGTTTCTTGTGAAACAATTCGCGTGCTCCCAGTGTACATGTCCATGTTTGTATAAGCAGTCGTTATGTTCAATAAATATACTACACACAGGGAAATGTTCACACAGACTTTGGCCCTTCGCCCATGAAATTAATGTTCACCCAGTTTTAATTTCTCCCTTCATATTTAATAACGATATAAAATATGATGTTTACGTACATTTGCTGCAATGGTAAAGTCATCCTCATTACGTAGAGCAAAAAGACGAACAATTAAACTGAAGCAAACATTTCTGAAAAATGTAGTTTCACTTGTTTTATTCGGGGTTCATGACGTCTGTTTGTATCCTGTTAAAGTTGTGATCTTGTCCTCATACGTAACTCGACAAGTAAGTTGTTTCATACCGCTATTCATTATTATGTAAACATAACTATAATGTGATATATTGAATAACTGTTCGCGATATGTTCATGCAAGCATAACCTAATGTTGTTATATTCTCGCAGTAACATACATTACCGACTCATTGTTATTACTTTCAATGTAATGATATGTGTTCGATCCAGTAAGGTTGACCAGGTAGAAAAAGACCTACCCGTCGTTCCTGTCTCCGTGAAATTAAACCACACTATTACGACGTCATGAACACGCCATAAAGTTAATAAGCAACACTATGTAAAAGTATGTAGCATGTAAAGTCAATATAGATATCTGATTAATTACTCATATTTTTCATAAAATATTGGCGTCAATGCTGTGTGAACGAAGTGTTATTAAGACAACGGTCCATTAAAAAGCAAGTCTTTATTCAGAAACATGTACAAAGGTTATCAGATTAATATTTCTATTTATGTAAAATAATCACCATGTAGGCCATTCTAGCTACTAGGCAGTGTACGTTTGAGATGCAGGTAAAAGATAATGGACATAGGAAATATGCAATGAACGACTATTTACATTGATTGTGGCAATGTATGTCATCATTTCGAAATATAACGAAAAATGATCACAACAATCATAACATAAATTCAGTAATGAAAGACTGTGTTTAAAACAAGAATTGCAAATTTAATCATTTTTTGTAAATGAACTAAATTAAAACCTCTTAATCCTTCAAAGCTGGCTGATGAAGGGTTTTAACATTCAGAGGAATTGCCATTCTTTCCACGGACATGCGTAAAATATATAACTATTCTTTTTTTCTTTTTTACCCGAAAACCTTAAATCGTGAACGGTGATT